TTGGACATCCATGTTATGATCAACTGACACCTGTCAAAACAAGGTATCCGCTGACCAGTATCACGTGACCATATCGCGGACTCAAGTTTACAGCTCATCACGGTCGCGTGTTGTTTTCAAGTTGACCGCTGACAAAGTGCTGGTTTTCGATTGGATCGCGGGCTCATCCCAGGTTAACTTGTTGAAAACAGGGCAGGATTGTTCGGAAGCTGGTTAACGCTAACCCAGGATTAACAGTTAACCGAATTATAACTTTTTCGTCTATACAAATGTTTTTTACTGCTTTGTCCTGTGTATATAGTCATTGTTAAAACTCCAAACAGAAGGCCAAACAATATACAGAAGACCTCACCGCAAAGTTACAAAACTCAAATCAAAATTCTACCTTTTTCTGGGTTATTTGGCTCTGAACAACCCGGCCCAGGAGCTACGCTTTAGGCTGGCCTAAATCTATATATTAGTGAATTTCAACGATGTCTTCAGACAATACACTCACGTAGCAAATGTCATTTGCATAACTTTCATGGAATGCACTGAACCTCATAGGATCCCCGAACTCTTTGATTTGAGTTTTGTTGGTGCGCTGGCCAAACTTCCCCTACATGGAATTCAACATCATTTTTGCAAGGCTACGTTTGCCGGGATTCTTTTCAATGTTGTTGCGGTTGAGTTCGATGCCCTCTTTCGCTTTGTAGGATCTCAGATGTTCTTGYTGTTTGACGGGATCATCGCCTACATGAGCTGGCCAGCCGCTTGCCTCCTCTTTAATCTTTAACCATGTATTCACATAGTCTTTAAAGAGACCTTTCCTGGTTTCAGAAAAATGCCACACTTCGTGAATGTAAGTTATTTTGTAGCCCTTCTCAACGGCTTTGTTCAGTGCGGGGGTACACCATGTACCTGTACTTTGTCTTTCACTGTCGCTGTGACTGCAAACCCAGGACCGTTGTAGCATTGGTTTTTCCATCTCTTCTTGTACACAGGCTCTACATAGCGGAAATGTCAGTTTACCATTTCCACGCAGCGGAAGTACTAGATGAAACAGTTTTTCTGAAGGTAAGATTGTGACTTTGGTAATCCCGAAGTAATTTTGGATATCTGTGTCTTACGGCTGAAATATAATTTCAGGGTGGCCGACAGGATACTCAGCATTCTTATTGATGAACAGATAGACAGATGTAACATCATAGTAATGAATCTTCTCTCCTGAGGCGATGTCAGCCAGATGATAAAGTTTGACAGCGTTTGTTCGTCCGCCGCAGAAGACATCACGGGGATTTAGTGGCTCCACCAAATCGAGGCTGGCTACAAATTTAAAGTTCCTGACTTCCTGCCTTTCTTCTTTGATTTTCCGTCAATCACACACCCACATTTCGATGACGTTGTAACCTTTGTCACGCAAGAATTGAAGTTTTTCCTGGGTGNCCTCTTTAATCTTTAACCATGTATTCACAAAGTCTTTAAAGTGACCTTTCCTCGTTTCAGAAAAATGCCACACTTCGTGAATGTAAGTTATTTTGTAGCCCTTCTCAACGGCTTTGTTCATTTCGGGGGTACACCATGTACCTGTAATTTGTCTTTCACTGTCGTTGTGACTGCAAACCCAGGACCGTTGCAGCATTGGTTTTTCCATGTCTTCTTGTACACAGGCTCTACATAGCGGGAATGTCAGTTTACCATTTTCACGTAGCGGAAGATGAAACAGTTTTTCTGGAGTTAAGATTGTGACTTTGGCAATCCCGAAGTAATTTTGGATGTCTGTGTCTTCCGGCTGAAATATAATTTCAGGGTGGCCGACAGGATACTCAGCATTCTCATTGATGAACGGATAGAGAGATGTAAAATCATAGTAATAAATCTTCTCTCCTGAGGCGATGTCA